TGTTGTACTACTGCTGTTATTGTTGTTGTTCTAGCTCCTCTTACTAGAATTGTTACTCTCATTATATCTCCACAAAAAGAGAAAGCTATGTTTCTGTTCAAATGTATTGTTTAATTAGTTGGTTTCTTGATTCACTGGATGTTCCCCTGGTTCATTATATAACCAAGAATGCCACAAAATAATGAGACAGGTGAATGTGTGGACACATTGCTCAATGCAGCAAAATGGAGACGGGTGACATCACAGGTATAGCTTTCTATAGAGGGTGACTAAACCTAGATTTCTATAGACCTTGCTAAAACCTTTAGAGGATAAAAAAGTAATGAATGCCCTTTAACTCTCCCCAGTTTGATCAATGAGACAGATCCAAAAAAGCCCCAGGTGTTGGAAATGGAGGTGTGTCACTCTCGTCACCTTAATATGTCGTCTATACATGTTTATGCTCAAGATGCCTCAGGACGCAAGCTGGTTTCACTGGCACACACTCTTGATGCAAACACCCTCCCTTCGCCAGCCTCCCTCAAGTGTCAGAATGCCAGTGTAATGGTAAGACGGGATATGATTTTCAAAGAGCATGCATATTTATAGAATGTTTTGTCTTATTTTATTCCTGGTATTTGTAAATTTATTTACTTATAGAGCTCTACTTTGTTGCTGTTTTATGTAGTTTTGTTTGATATATATTGTTGTTATAGCTATTGTGATATTATGATATCATTTATGTAATATTTTTGAATTTTCCTTATTTTATTCATCATTTTAACATTCCTTGTCATTTCTTTTTGGTGCTGAAGCGTGTTTTAGAAACATGTACCTTACCCTTAATATCCCAGACCTTTACATTGAATTTATACATTTCTAACAAATGTTTCTTTTTTTCTTAGGCAGAGAAAGTTGCAATGTGCAATGTGAGTGAAGGGGAAAGAGCAATGATAATCAAAACAGCTAAAGGAGACTGGGCCATTGTCATTGCTGCTTGGGAAGGTCTCAGGAGAGGCTTACCTGGAACTTTATGTAAGGGCTAATTGATAACTTGTAAAACTAAGCTTACTTTTTGCATTATTCTTGTGATAGTTCCATAAAAGCAGCTGATAGATTTCTCTGATAGTTTTGTAAAGTGTATTTTCCCACACTAAATATGAGCATTGTGTCCAATTTATTCCAAAACAGTTTCTGAAAAAGATCAACCTTGATATTGTACCAAATTTGTATACAAGTAGTAAATTTCCATTAGTTTCTTGATTTGCATATTAGCAATATCAGATTGTTTTATTTGCAGCAAAATTATCTGTCAACATTTATGGTAAAAAAATAAGCCAGTATATAGTAGTGGTGATTAAGGGTACCATAATTCATAATTCAGTAATTCAATATAACTTTTTGAATTATTGTTTTCAGACATGCATATGCATAGGGAAACTACTTGAGGAACTTTGTTTTGTAACTTTTTGTCTTTAATATGATGTTACTTTATATTGTAATAAAAGCAACTATCTTATATCAGACAAAGATGAATATGAAATGTCTCTGGTATTTTATAGTAGAAAACAAAAAAGGGTCTTATATATGCAGATAATTTCAAACAACATTTTGTAACTAATTATAACATAGCTGTATTTATTTTGATGCCTAAATTATCTACTATATATCAGTTTTTGCCACCTCTAAAGTTACTACTATTGGCAAGAGATGAAATCCACACAGTTTGTATGGCATTAGAATAGAATATGTCCAGACTGTGATTATGAAAGACCCCCTCCAGTTGCTTTCACATTTTTTTCTCATAGAATTATTTCTGGCTTTCTTTTCTTTATAATCACATACTGATTTTTATACCCCCAATAATAATGATGATATTATTTTCTTTAATTTTTTTTTTTTTTTTTTTTTTTTTTTTTTTTTTTTTTTTTTATCCTCTCTGATATGCTTTGATCTACTGTTACATCTTCATGCTTTCTTTACCCTCTCCCCCAAAATAAGAAGGAAAAAAAGAAAGAAAAAGCAAACTGAAAATGTGTTTCAAGAATTGATTTTTTTAGTACATTAAGAATATAAAGACCAATTGTATTGGAATAACTGACATTGAGCAATCCTTAGCTTGAGCTGTATTTTTACTTTTTATTGCATCTATGGGAAACTTATTATGGGAACTAAATGTGTCCAAACTGTTATTTACTTTATTCATTAGAATTTTATGAAGGACATGTACTAACAGATATCAAAAGTTAGAATTATAGTAAAATGCCATATGAACCATTGGGATAGCAGATAGCCTTTATTACACCATTTATATACAAACTGGGCTCATAAAAAGTTCATAAGATGACTTCCTCAAGTATAAGCCTGCAGTAGTTAAAACTACAAGTAATTTAAAGGACATATTTCACCCCCCTTCAATTCATCAGTTACAGATAAACCCCTTTGATCCAGATAATGTGACCATCATGTCATGAAAATATTTAGCTTGAGAGATAGACATGAGCATGCCCTCATGGGGAAATTTGGCTGTGGGCTGGGGTTATGAGAAATTGTTGCCATGAAAATTTTGGCTGAAGGCTGGGGTAACAGGAATGACCATCTAAGAGACATAAAGCACATAGAGGATGGCTCCATGGGAGATGCTATTTCCATGCTCAGGACCCTATTCCTGCCTCACACACTGGAAAATGGCAAAAAAAAAACTAAAAAATGTTTATACGGAAAAAGAGAAAAGACATTGCAAATGTGGTGCATTGAGTCTTGTCACTGAACACAAATGGTCTGCAAGTCAGACACCTGTCAAAGTGGCTGGTCGAGTAAGCCTACTGCCCATATTTTGAGCCATGTACTGGCAGTGAAGTATCTGGATCCAAGGGGTTCAAAGCATCAAAAAGCATCAGAGAAAAAACAAAATCATGAAAATTCAAGAAATGGGAAAAGCAGGTGCAGTCATGAGGGCCAACTAACTGATTCCTTGGTGACTGAGCACTTATGGAACCATCTGTGCTCAACAGATTTCACAAAAAATAGTGCGTAGTCTAATAATATTGATATTGATATTATTATTATTGACACTATGATTATCATAAGATAATCATATCATAAGATACTGATCACGATAAAAAGTAAGAATCTTTCTGAAAATCACAGAAAAGGGTAAATAGGCAAGATAAGTAGGACTGATAGTTGACTTTTTAGTGACTGAGTATTTATGAAGCCATCAGTATAAACACAGTTGATGAAATGAAATTGCAGTGGGCATGGCATGTACTTCATGCCATCCATATGACCATTAGATTAAAATAGACAGTGTAAGATTGATCAAGGCCTACATTTTTTCAGTATGTATGCGTGTTTGTGTGTACGTAGCTAATCATTGTAGTAACCAAACATGTTTACTTTTACTTCTTTATTCATAGCGAGGCGTGGCATCCCTGGTAGTCCTGGACACTTGGTATTAAGAGTCCATTGTCCACCATCTGCTCCAGCAACTATTGTCTCCTTGCCTTATGATCAGCAGCTGTATAGTTATAATCTTCAAGATCTTTATATCGACATGCAAAGTGGTATTTTTAAGGTAAGATCCTCTTTGAATAAGAGACTAGTGAATATTTTGGTTGGTAACATGAAATTTTTCTTTAATTAGCTATTGAAATTATAGTTGTGGCTGCATTGAACACGATGCAATGCAATGCAGTGGGAAGGGAAATGACCAGAAAACTTTGTACTGTAAGACCTGGGCATAGCAAGCTCACATAAGTTGTGGCAGTGCTGCTATTCTGTGCAGTTTTATGGGAAAAATTGGCAGATATATTTACTTGTATGAAGTACATTACTGACAATAGATATTAAGAGTTTTATCACATTTTTTTATGACCCTATAACAATATAATAGTTGTTGTTCAGCAGTAGAAGGAAATTGGGAACAATTTTTTTTTTTTTTTTTTATTGAATAAAATGTTTATAGGTTGATTTTTGATGGCATGTCTCTAATGAAATTGGTCTCTTACTGGTTCATATCTAATTTACATCATACTGGTTCATATCATATATATATATATATTATAATACACACACACATATATATACAAACACACACACACACACACACACACACACACACACACACACACACACACACACACACACACACACACACACACACACACACACACACACACACACACATATATAATCACACACACATATATATAATCACACACACATATATATAATCACACACACACACACACACATATATATATAATCACACACACATATATATAATAATATAATCACACACACATATATATAATCACACACACACACACACCACACACATATATAATCTACACACAATAAACACACTACACACACCACACATATATATATAATCATATATACACAACACACCACACACATATATATATATCACACACACACATAAATATAATCAACACACACACAACACACAATATATATAATCACACCACACATATTATATAATCACACACACCATATATATAATCACACACAACACATATAATATATAATCACACACACACACATATAATAATCACCCACCCACACACATAATATGACACACACACACACACACACACACATAACACACCACACACACATACATAATACACACACACACATAATCACACCACAACATACACATATCACACCACACACATATATAATCACACACACACATATAATCACAACAACACACACACACACACATAACAACACACACACATATATAACACACACAACACACACACACACAATCACACACACACAACACACACGACACACACACACACACACACACACACACACACACACACACATAACACACACACACACACACACACACACACACACACACACACACACACATCACACACCACACACACAATCACAAAACACACACACACACACACAAACACCACACATAATCACACACCCACAATCACAACACACACAATCACCACACACACACACACACA